GTCGGTGATAAGAGACACTGGATGGAAATTCAAGGAGGGCAAATGGCAAGAGAGTGACAAATGCTTTGACACTGAATTCGTTAGTGTCGAAAATGGTGAGGAAATTCACAAAGTGGGGAGACGAGCCAACAAATATGATTTCATCAGGTATCCGCTTATCATTAATACATGCCTAACAGCACGTCAATCATCATGATGACAATCAGTAAAAATACACCTTTTCACCGCTTAAGGTAGGCTTCAAGGAGTGGCTTCCAAAACTCTCGCTCACAAGATAATCTACTGAACCTCACTATCGGCAGTAGAAATAGTAGCTTTATAGCTGAAGTCAGAACTCCGTTTGCATTTAGCTCTGCCAGAGAACGGGAAGCATCCAAAATTTTCAGAGCGTTAGTACGTGTCAGCAGCAACCACACGCTGGCAAGAAAGTCGATAATCGGCTTTTCAAAACGATGCAAGGTTGTAAATGCCCGCAGTCTCTGCGTTAGTTCCTTTATTGACCATCCGCCTGAAACAAATCTTTGGTAAATCGTAGGGTAGACAACGCTTACCACATAATTCAGGTTTCAGGAAACCGCGACCACCGAAGAAAGCCAAAAAAAGGGGTGTCATGCGAGGCGATTTTTCACTGCCATCGGACACATACACTGAAGCGCCAAAGATTCACGTGCTTTACGAAACGGCAATTACCGTTTGGGACAATAGGATCCGTGATAAGTCTGACAAGTAACTTGTTCGATCGACTATTTTTCCAAACATTGTAAGTGCAGTTCACGAGACCATTTTTACAGGCCTATCGAATTTTTCTTCAAATGGTTCGCTTTGGAACTGCCGAATCTAAGAGCTGTTTCGCGACCTCGGCTGAAATTTCGCCTGAATTGAGCTTGTTCAATGAGCGGTCTAACTTTGTTGCAACTTCAGCTTTTTTAGCAGCAGAACAAGAAAAGGAATGAGGTTAAATGTCTAAGGCGTAGTACTCAAGTGCATGATCGATGAATTAATACCGGGAGGGGAGGGGGAAAGGAGTCGGTGGAGCGACAGGTTCACTGCCGTGTGGTATAGTTTTTATGCGTTTTTTGCAGCAATGCAATGCGAAAAACGCATATTGACGGGAGGTTGTCTGTG